ATTATCTTCTTTTATGTTCCATAGTTTATGTTGGGCCGTTGTAGCCTAAACGTTTATGTGTAATAAATTTTATGTTGAATCAAATAAAATATTTCTTTCTAAAGCTACTATTTGTAATGTCTACTTACTACTTTCTCATTTAACACAAAAATAGTTTTAAATAATCTTTTGGGGGTATTTTCACAGCTAAATGTAATTTGCGATTAATTAGATTAATGAATCGACACATCATGTAATTAATTAAATAAAAAATTTTAATCGACTGACAGCCCTAATTGTAATATATAAACCCTAACGTAAAAAAAACAGTTAATCTTAAAAAAAAAATAAAGCATATGCATAAACCCAAATAGAAAATAAAACCGTTTTTGAAGAAGCATGTGTCCTAAACTCCTGAAACATTGGTGTCTCTTGTTTTAGAGCAGTCACTGCAATTTATGAAAGAAATCAATTACATTTACATTTAGTAAAAGTAATTCAGTAATAACTTTGGGGTTATTTCACGTTGCCTAAGAAATAATCAAACATAGATTTAATATAACAACAAATAAATGTGCAATGTAAAAACATAACAATACTATGTATGCTTTCATCAACATTGCATCAAAAAAAGTCAATTAAATATTATTTTAAATAATTTAAATAGCATTTATGCTGGTAAGGGTAAGGTTTTTGACCTGTCCCTCACTATGATTTTTATTTTTCAGCAGGACTTTTAATTTGCAAAATTATATAAAAATTACATTTGCATATTGTTCTAAATATAGTCTCATTGTTAAGAAATGTTTTTGGCATAAGTATGCATTTTTCCTATAAAATATAAATCATTTTATTGGTGTCCCCTGATTTCATGTCAACCCTGTTACCCTCATTAAAAAACCCTTGTAAAATAATGTACAATCCACTTTTAGGAGGTTATCATCTCTCAACCAGGATTTCTACACTTAAAACACAAGCATGTTTCTCTCTCACTTCTATAATGTTCTATTTTTTGATGATTTATGAGGCTTGACTGAGCACCATGCAGTGTTATTACATTTTTAAAATGTAAATTTAAACAATTATTTTGTACATTTAATATAATCAATATGTACACATAAAATCCTTTTAAAGTGTACAATATGTGCTTTTGTGAACTTGACTATTAGATAGCAATTAGCAAATTTGTTTGAAGTCATCAAACCCGTTAATTTTTAGAGGAACAGGTTTTGACGTGGGTAACAGGGATGATATAGATTAGGTGTCGCCCTGTTTTAAGATTGTCTGTGTAAAATTCAAACATTTTAAAAGTCACCCTCGGTAAATTATTGAGCTAATGCCTATATCATTCAGTGGCATATGAATTCTAATTAAATTATAGTATCTAGTGACGCTTGTGTCAGTAACAGGATTGACAAATATAGCAAACATGAGGTAGAAAAATAGTCATAAAATAAATGACATAGCCTGAGATGGCACAAAACAATTTCTTGTCATTTTAAAGTGTCTTCATTTCATGGATATTTAAAAAATGTTGATTAAACATTTTATTTTTCACTATTTCCGAGTGGAAAAGGCACCGATTTCATGGAATGACCCTTTGGTTTTTATCATCAAACCCGTTAATTTTTAGAGGAACAGGTTTTGACATGTGGGTAAGAGGGATGATATAGATTAGGTGTCGCCCTGTTTTAAGATTGTCTGTGTAAAATTCAAACATTTTAAAAGTCACCCTCGGTAAATTATTGAGCTAATGCCTATATCATTCAGTGGCATATGAATTCTAATTAAATTATAGTATCTAGTGACGCTTGTGTCAGTAACAGGATTGACAAATATAGCAAACATGAGGTAGAAAAATAGTCATAAAATAAATGACATAGCCTGAGATGGCACAAAACAATTTCTTGTCATTTTAAAGTGTCTTCATTTCATGGATATTTAAAAAATGTTGATTAAACATTTTATTTTTCACTATTTCCGAGTGGAAAAGGCACCGATTTCATGGAATGACCCTTTGGTTTTTATCATCAAAAATCACATATTGATATTCATATTGTCTCCACATTAATAAACACTCACCTGAGAGTCATTTCAGATTTCTGACATCTTCAGATCAGAGGACCTAAAACCTTGATAGACCTAAAACAGAATATCATGAGATATAAAATGTTACATTACAGCAAAAATACAGAGGAATAATTCACTAGAGGTCAATTTCTGTCCCACGTTATACTTTTTTTTTTCTATCATGGTATATACACATGAATGCATTTTGCATTTAGCAGACAAAGTGACTTGCATACAAGAAATACAACCAGGTTTCTAAAAATGGACTCAATTTAAATTTTTTAAATTATTTTGAAAATGAGTAACATTTTTGTAAACTTTTTTTTTAAATAACTTTTTTCTCTTTTTATTTTTAAATATTTTAGTGGCAGTCCTACTTAATTCAGCATTTAAAATATATTTAAAATGTGGCATTATATACCTTGTTTATATAATATATATTTATAATTAAAGATTTAATTATAATAAAATCAAATATTAAAATAAAAATAATCCAAATACTGCAAGGCACTTCAAAATGTACATTTTTAAAATCATTTTTAAAATAATTAACATTTTAAAAGTAATTTTTTATGTGTGTATATATATATATATATATATATAACTTTCCATTTTTAAGCCTATAGTGGCACTTCTAGAATGTAATAATAATTTTAATATATATTAAAATAAAATACAAGTAATTTAAATACTCTCAAATACTTCAAAGAATATCATGGCGTTACTGTGGTGCATGTTCAAAAATCATAGTAAATTCTGAGGTTCTTTGTAGTTAATGCTGTAAAGAGATTTCAGTGTTTTCTGGTTTATCTGCAGGGCGTCTCGTTCAGAAACCTGCTTCTCATCTTCATCACGATAGGAATCTAGACTCCAACCAGACAAACACCGATCCAGAGCATCATTCCTGTGGAGAAACACACACACAGATCATCTGCGTAGACAGAGAGGACGCGCAGCTCGCCGGAGACCTTGACGCTCCTCACAGCGAGGAAGACTTCGGTGGACTGCTGGAGGTGGAGATGAAGCAGAGCTTTCCATCTGAAATCACAGGTCCAGACCGGCAGGAAAACACGGAAACAACAGATGATCCGCGCTGCTCGCAGATGCCTGCAAACACAGACGCATGCGCATACGCGTCTGCGGAAAGCAGCTCATCTGTCGCTGCTAAACAAACATTAAACAACCTCAGCTTTGAGTCCGTAAACCAGAACTCATGGGCCGAGAGAACAGAACCAGACTTCATCCCAACATTTCCGGATGAGAATATAAACCGCAGCTGCGCAGACAGACGCGCATTTGCTGCGAGAGAAGCGGCGCACCGCAGAGAAACGGTGCATGAGAAGTGGTTCATCTGTTTGTTCTGCGGGAAGAGTTTTGACCGCTTCAGTCACCTGCAGATGCACCAGCGCATTCACACCGGAGAGAAACCCTTCTGCTGCGCAACCTGCGGAAAAATCTTCTCACAGCAGAGCAACCTGCGCACGCACCAGAAGATCCACCGCAAGACACGCACGCATATGTAAAAACTAGGGATGCACCGATTGTTTAAAAAAAAAAAAAAAAA